AAAGTCTTGCTGAAATACCCAACAATCTGCCGACCTGCCTGTAAGTCGCCATGTTTGTTATGGTTATCTAAACACGACGGAAGTGGCGCGGTAAATAAGGGGACGTGACGCACTATTATTGTATATTTGTTCGTCCCCCCTCTTATTCCAGCAGCAGCTACACTCAAGTCCAGCTTCTAGAAAACTCTGAAATAATTTTGTGTTGTATCTAAAAATATGCCGTGTGGCAAAAACTTTAGAAGGAGAAGGGACTCGTCCGATGTGGAAGAGGATGAGACCACCGAAGAAGTCAGGTAGAGCCATCCGTTTAACCACAGGAATAAAAAAAAAAAGCCCTTTAGAGTAATGCTATGCATGCTAATGCTAATCGCTAAACGCAGATAGTTTGTGGTCGCATTTCATACAAGCTGCCCAGGTAATGTGTTTGCAATCGTTTGTGTTTCATGGATGTTTAGACATAAGTTGGAAGAGGCTAAAGAGCTACAGAGTTTGCGCAAACGACAGACCGGAATCAGGTAACGTAAATAAATCAAACCACGAACACGTTTCATCCTGTTACTTTACATGAAGTTTTACAGTCTGTGGTTTGAGCAGTTACAATCACAGTTTTTTTAAAATATTTCTTTTATTTAGTGTGACCGCCTTGTTGGTTGGAGAAAAACTTCCACCAGAGGCTGAAATTGAGGTAGGTAGTCAGTTTTGTAAAATATATATATATATTTTAAATTGTAATATAGCTTCATTAACCAAGGTGTTTTGTTTTTTGAACTTACGTTTATTAACATTATTTGATTATTCCGCACAGAATGACCCATTTAAACTGAAGACTGGGGGAATTGTTGACATGAAGAAAGTGAAAGACCGGAATAGAGACATGTAAGTGAGTTTTTAACTATTTTTAGCATAATTGCTCTAAGCTGTGCATTGATATGTCATCATTTCATGTTATGTATTCAGGACAGAAGATGAGACAGACCTCAACCTGGGGACGTCTTTTTCAGCCGAGACAAACAGAAGAGACGAGGATGCAGATATGTATGTGTGCTTTTTTTTTCTTTTTTGTTGTCCCAATGTCTGATTCTTTTCCCTCCACTTTAGTTAGATATAGCACAAATTACTTAGAAGAGACATTTCAAATCCCCAACATTTAGGACACAATTCAAGATACCCTCACACTTGTTTACAACATGGTTTTATCATAAATTTATCCTCACAGGATGAAATATATTGAGACGGAACTAAAAAAGAAGAAGGGCCTGGTGGAGGCTGAGGAGCATAAAGTTAAAGTGAAGAATCCAGAGGACCACCTGTACGAGCTGCCCGAGAACATCCGAGTCAATTCTGCCAAGAAGACAGAGGAGATGTTGTCTAATCAGATGCTGAGTGGCATCCCTGAAGTTGATCTCGGCATTGAGTATGTACCGAGAATATTCTAGTAATCATCTACACTTATTTTAGACTCAGCAAGAGGAGTCTTTTGACTAAAACTGCATTTTTGCATGAGATATGGCATGAACGAATGCTGCTTTTTACTTGTAGCTTTACTAATGCAACTTGTGTATGTAATTTCTTTTCTAGTGCAAAGATAAAGAACATTATCCAGACAGAGGAGGCAAAAGCAAAGCTTTTGGCAGAACAAAGAAACAAGAAAAAAGACCACGGCACATCATTTGTACCCACGAACATCGCTGTTAACTACGTCCAACACAATCGATGTAAGTAATCTGAAGAGAGCGAGATATTCCACACCTAAATTAAAGCGGATTATACTGATCAAGCTGACTTTTTCTTTCAGTCTATCATGAGGATGCAAATGCACCGCAGAGACACCACAGACACAAAGAAGAACCCAAAGCAAGACCGCTGCGTGTGGGCGACACAGAGAAACCAGGTCCAGAGGGTAAGAGACTACAGATACGCTCACTGCTCAGTACACAGAAATAGTTCTATAACAGTTGGATAAACAAAAGAAAATGGGTGGGTGGAATCACCCCGGCGAGCAGGCAGTATGGACACTCGGCTTTGTGACTTTGAGATCAAGGTCAGAGGTCAAGTTTTCTGAAAATTATCTTAGCAATTTGGAGATTTTATCATCTCATAATTAGAGATGGACCGATCCGATATTACGTATCGGTCCGATACTGACCTAAATTACTGGATCAGATATCGGACAGAAATAAAAAATGTAATCCGATCCGAAGTATCATAAAATCACCTCACAAAACGCGCTACTTGGCGTAACCCAGCTCGGTGCGTCGGAGCAGTATATGTCACGTGATAGAGCGGCTATTGTCTGCGAGACCTGTCGGGGGCCATGTTGGGCATTAACAAGGAAAGGGGGGGCGCAAATAAATATTTTTCTTCATGTCATTTAAAAACTTTGAATAAATAATTATCTGAATCTTACAACAAAAGTGGTCACCTGATTAAATGTATAGAAATCCATTATTGTATATAGTAACTATTAGGTCTAATATACACCCTAGTAAGCTATAGTACTTTTTCCTTTGGGAAGGTACCATCTGTGCAGTCTGCAATTCTGTTGAAGAAAGATGTTGAATCTATTTAAATATTGTAGAAAAATAATTGATTATTGTGCATTTGTTTTACACTTGCATTAAATTAAAGTTGATTACATCGATTAAGGGAGGGGAGTGGTTCCCTAATATTTTTGCTGGGAGTTGGCAACCCTAGTAATTAGGTAGGTAAGTACTATTTAAAATACCAGAATAGGGAGGATGGTGTTGGTTTAAATTTATTAGATTGATCAGTGTTGCTGAACTATAAAATGTTTTGGGTGGAGTGTATTTTTTGCATACAGGTATAGCAGAATAGCTTCAGTGTCTTTTTTTCAAACTTGAGTATGAACTTATACAAAATACAGCAAGATATTTATAAAAAACAGTTTTATTGATTACAAAATACACTGTATCGCATTCATATCGGTATCGGCAGATATCCAAATTTATGATATCGAATCGGACATTAAAAAGTGGTATCGTGCCATCTCTACTCATAATGACAATAATTTCACAGAATCAAGAAAAATCTCTGCACACGAAGTTAGAAGGCTGTGACCTTGAGACCCTCATGAAGCAGTAAATTAAAAACAGGCATGAATCTGTAGTAGGAATGACTGCATAGACTCAAACACTTCAAAAACATTGCCAACTCAAAATTGAATAAAGTCTAAGTTGAAGTGGAAAACTGTCCTGTGGGCCAGACCTTTCAGAATGTGAAACTCTTGTTTTAAGTCACTGTCACTTGTGCATTTCCAAAAATATTTCTCAGTTTCAGGATTTTCTTCTTTTTATCCAAGCTAGATACAAACTGTATTACAATCATTGCATTTAGTTTACTTTCAATGGTATCCCCCATTTGCTTGTGTGTCTGTGTGGGGATTTATTGAAAATCTTTTTGAAACCTTTAATCTGATTTCTAACTTATTTGTTCATCCACAGCTCCGTCACCACCAAACTACCGCAAACGTCCAAACAATGAGAAGGCTACAGATGACTACCACTATGAGAAGTTCAAGAAGATGAATCGACGATATTGATGTGGATATATATAAAACCATTTTAAACTCAAGATTGGACCATAAATCATTTGAGCATCCCAAACAGCTTTTGATGGCATAGCTCTAACATCAGGGCCACACCGTGTAATTATTGTATATAGCTCCTGCTGTTTGTCTGTATACAGTACAGTTGTTAATGTCTCAGATGATTTCTTTTGCTCAGGATTGTCTTAAGTTTAAAAGACAGGAATATGTTAAGGATGCAGATTCTGGTCTTAAACTGGTCAGGATTTATTTTTATTTTTTTTAAATCGGTGACTTTTCCCTTTTTAAGTGTCCACTGTTACATGTTTAGCTGTAGATTTGTGTTTAAAGATTTCAGAAAAATAAATAAAAAAAAAAAGAACCAAAAATATTGTAATATTTGATTTAATCTGATGTGCAGTTAAATTAAACAGACAAAAGTAAACCAATGCCATTCTTAAAAAAAATAAAATACATTTAATGCAAAGTCTAACACAGGAATATAAAAAAGTACTTGAGTTTCAAAGGTGAGTTTAAAGTTGTCTTCATTTTCTTTTACTTCTTTTACTGAACGTGATTCAAGTCTAGACTTTTTACAGTGGAGTTCTTTATCAAATATATCTTCTAGTTTGTAACTAGGCTTGATGCAGATCTTGGAAAGCAGCAGTTGCACTTAAGAGCCTACCACTCAACACAAGCATTTTAGGTGGTTTAATACAACAGTCTCTTATTTTTGTGATGTGTTAATCCAAAAGAAACCATTCATTGCAAAGTTTAAGTCCAGTTTTAAAGTCCTCGATACAAAAAAGTAGCAAGTCAAACAACGGTTCACAAGCTATAACTGATCCAAACTGGGCAAAAGCAAACCAACAGGTGTCCCCCTTTCCTCCTCACGGTTTCTCTACGGAGGCGGTCCCGTGTCCGTTAAGGTGGTGCTGGGGGTTCGTCTCCTGAGATGGAGGCCCGTCCACGTCCTCGCGCTCCCCGTGCGTAGAACTGTTGCTGCTGTTCGCGGAGGCCCAACTGTCTCGACGGCGGTAGGCCTCGCACAGAGGCAGGTCAGTGCTGTCCCACTGACTGTAGCTGTGCAGAGCAGAAACCAGCAGGAGGCAAAGAATCAGTGCAGCACAGAAAGAGAGGAGCAGACGAGAGCAGCAGGTCAGAAACAAGCACAACCAACTCAGAGAGGAGCACGTGAAAGCACATTTGATAGAAGCACAGAGGTTATGCAGAAGCACCAGAAACAACTTAAACATAAAACAGCAATTTATTCATGTGTTACTATTTAGAGGGATGACTGTTGATTAAGCTCAGCAGAAGGGTGAGAACAAGTGCTGATGGATCAGAAAAGCAGAGCAAGTGCACCGAGCACGGCAGACCCCAATTTGGCATGATGCAAACAGAGCTCAGAGACACCTCTTAACACTTGATCACAGAAAACAAGACAAACTACTTCAACATTTTGTCTCTACTTTATTTCTTAATCATCCTGGGTCTCTAGGAACAGCGGGCAAAACCTGGTAAACATGTACAACTGCACCGTGCGACTGTGGCTGACACTGATGTTAAGGTTACACCTTTTAGATTTTAGGGACGGAATGAAAAACATTATTGTGGAAACTCTAAATAAATACCAGCAAACGTGTGTGTTTAACTGCACAGACCATCCTTAAAATATAACACAAAAGGCCATCACAACTTTATTTGACTTAAATACTACATATAAATAATCTTAAATTGATTAAAATGATACTTTTACACACAGAAAAAAAATATCTATAAATCCATATAGCTTTAGGACTTTAGATGTATATACGTGTTCTTTGTAGCACCCAGCAAATTTCAACAATTCATCGATGGATACAACAGCAAATCAAGTGCTTTAAATGATAGATTTTTAATAAACTTTGTTCATTCTTTTCATTTTTTTCTATTACTATAAATGAACAAGGAGTTCTCAATACTAAGATTTATAAATGCTGAATCTCTCCTGTCTACCAGATAATGTTGGGTAAACATCTCTCTAGGCCAGGCGAGGGGAACTCCAGGCCTCAAGGGCTATATCAGCTCTGTTTGGATCAAGGGCACATCTAAAACCTGCAGGACACCAGCCCTTGAGGCGTGGAGTTCCCCCACCCCTGCTCTAGGCCATCAGACGCTGCAGACTAGTTCCTAGGCAGTGACTAGTTGCTCTGCTGTGATTGGGTAGTTTTTAAATCAGACTGCCTACTAATCACAAGGGACAATGAAAATATGAACAAGATCTTTTCCAAGAGCTTCATCAGTCACCTATCCATGAAACAACTAATCACAGCAGACTATAGTGTCTCTTCTAGTTGATTTGATCTAGCACTAACCATTAGAAGTAAAATCAGTAAATCTACTGTTTTTGGTTCCAAAGTGCTGATATTTAAGGGCATGCCACTTTAAGACTGAAGACCTCCCTCTAATCATCTCTTATAATGATTTCTTTTAAAAAGGTCAAGGCACGCACTAAATAGTAACAATGTAAAGGCGCTTGTGGTGAGATGAGGTTCATTACAAAGACCTATAACAATTTTGATGAAAGGCTCAGTTTAGACACTGTCACAAGCCCTTCCCAGGGCTCAGTGTAAATGGTGAAATGTGAAACAGCGGTGCTGGGAATGGGACGACAGAGGCGCAATGGGATGAGGGATGGGGGCAAGTATGAGCCTATTTATACCTGGAGGAGTAATATTCTTCCTCTAGCTCATACAGGTCGATGGCAATCTCGTCACGGAGTGACATGAGCTTCTTGTCGCACTCTTCCTGTAGCGAGCGGAGCTGCTGGTTCTGCAGGCTGATGGCGTCGTTCACGGAGGGGAAGTCGTTCAGAATTAGGAACTGCTTCAGGTCAGAGACCAGCTTCATGAGGGACTCGCCGGCACGTACCTGGCACAGAAACATAGAAGAGGGGAAGCAGGTTTGAAAATGATCATAGTGATGACTTGTTAAAATGTCAATTTCTGCACAGAAAAGATTTTTCGCTAAGTGTAGAAACCGATTCATTCACAGGGCTGTAATGCGTCTGTCAGTTACATACAAACTACAACATTTCAATACAAAGGATACTGCAACAGTAAAGTGCAGCCCCAGATGTGACTCTTCGACTAGTGCTAGTGCACACATCAACATGTTTACAGTAATATGATAAATTACATGGATAATATGTTAACCTTTCATTCAAAGGAGTCTTTCTTGGAAACAGATGTAACCAGCTTTGGATTTTTTCTTCCCCACAGGTAACAGAAATAAATAACAATAAAGCCCTGAATATGTTGCATACGAGTGTGTTGTCAGGCGTTTTCTGCAGTACTTACAATGTTGGCTGCTCTGACATGCATCTCATAATGGTCCTGCTCTGCCTGAGTAGGTCGGGATACCTGTGTCTCATCCTCAATCTGGACAAAGAGATAAGTGGTAGAATATTATACTCGTCATAATGGTGTGTTGTATTTGGTCCACTTAATCAATGTAAACCAATTTGAAACCAATAAGTGACATTTAAACAACACTAAGCTGGTACTAAGGGACGTAAAGTGTGGAAAGAAAAAATATTCTCCACACCATTACACCACCAGCACCAGGATGGATCCATGCTTTCATGTTGTTTACACCAACTTCTGACCGTACCATCCAAATGTCATGGCAGAAATCGAGAGTCCGACCAGGCAATGTTTGTACAATCGTCTGTTGTCCAGTTTTGGTGAATATGTACAAACTGTAGCCTCAGTTTCTTGCTCTTAGCTGACAGCAGTTCCGTCCAGTGCGACTTTCTGCTGCTGTAGCTCTTCTGCATACCTCGACTGTAGGGACTGGTTATTTTAATTACCAGTGCCTTCCTATTAGCCTAAAATATTCTGGCCATTCTTCAGGCATTAACACTGCACCTTCACACAGAGAACTGGCGCTCGTTGGTGCTCGCTTTGAACTTCAGCAGGTCGCCTTTGCCACATTATGATGTTCAAATGCGAGTAACAAGGCACGAAATGAGTTGTGAGCAGCTCTGATTGTAGTAAAAACACGAAAATACACAAAGAGGGAGGTGACAGTATGTCTGTTACCTTTGCTGTCTTGACTATTTCTGTAAAGTTGTCCATAATGGAGCGGATGTCATCTTTGAGCCTCTTGTTGTAGTTTTGCAGTAGAGTCTCTTTGCTCTGAGGAAGCACTCTCTGAGTAGTCATCGTGCCCGGGTAAACACACACCTCACGTCACCTGTGTACACCGAAATAACACACGCGGGCGCCTTTAGGCGATAAAGTTTACAATAAAACAAAAAAGGCTAAACACATCATCAACGAGCACGCAAGTAGCTAGCACCGAAAGGCGCGTGCTTTCAAAACAAAAGCGAAGTCTCGCTCTCAAACAGTTTTCACATCTGTACCTGTATACGAATACACTTTAGTACAGATTATTGAATTACTGTTACATACCGTTTCTTACCACATATTCTACAATCACTTTTGTTTTCATGTAAAACAAACTCCTACGTTAGCGCCTCCTCCTTCTCTTGAAATTTGTGTGCTCACATCCGGTATCTCCCTGTAACACCCCACTCTACCGGTGCCTCCGGTAATTGCTCTCATGAATATATATATATATATATATATATATATATATATATATATATATATATATATATATATATATAGAGTTTAAAATTAGTTTAAAATTCCCATATATATATATATATATATGACCCTCAAGCTCCCAGGCCTCTGGTAGAGGACCCGAGCTTGAAGGATAAACCGCCCGCAGGGGCGTGCTGGGTGGTTTTTTTTTATTTTTTATTTTTATATATACACAGTTTAAAATTAGTTTAAAATTAGTTTAAAATTCCCAATGACATAAGGTAGCAACAATGTATTTGAGTAAAATATATAAATAACCAAAACAAAAAGTACTTTTAAAAATTCATCTAAGATGCCATTTTTGTGAATGCATAAAGTCAACATGTTGTGTAAGAATGTGATCGGAGTTTAAATAGAAATGAAATGAAATTTAAGACAGCGTGCAATCCCAAATTGGACATTTCTGTAGATGACCAAAGTATGTCTTAGATATAATAATGTATTTATTTCTTTTACCAACAATCAGTCCACTAACCGATGAAAATAAATCTTTTTTGCACACTAAGCATTGGAGGACCTACATTTAAGAATGTACTTCAACCATAGTCTAACCATATGACCACAACTAGTTCATTTGGTAAAATAAATAAACCAATAGATACATAAATAAACAAACAGTTCTCCCTTCTTATGAACTACATCCAGAAGAGCAAAAAATGTAGGCAAATATGAGAACACCCAGGGGACCATTGTTAAAGACAGCATAACTAATTCAATAGAGAGAAAAAAAAAACAGTTGATCTTTATGAGGCAAGATGTGATCATTATTATTTATGTAAAAAAATTTTTTTTTTTTTGTATGGAATGAGTCATCATTGTAAAGCCCTCATTGTATAGCAAAACCCAACCCATTAGCCTCCCTTATTATGTTGGTCAAGGTAATGTTTCATTATGCCCGAGGTATATTATTAATAACCTAGAATTATATATATCAAATTTAAGAGGTACAAAAGATAACACTTAACTCGTGGTGGACCAACTTCATCATGAACTGAATGTTTTGACGATCATTTAAAAAACAAAAACAAAAACCACATGCACACAATTTTGATTTACATTCATTTAATAGTATCTCATGACAGTTTTCAAAGGCAGGCTGTGCAGCATAAGAAGTATTTTGAGTGCTTTCCTGTCCAACAGTGTTATCAACTGTTACTCCAAATGTTTCTTACACAACACCGGTCACCCCCCCCTCCTCAAACAAACAAAATAAACAAAAACAAACTTACAGCTGTGTTACAAACAAAACACATTCTTCAAGAACCGTGACACTCTGTCAGTGATTATGTGCAATCGTCTTGTTTAAAACTGGGATGAGAAAAGTAAACATTTATATCAAAATACCGAACACTTCGAAATAAAAGATTTTACATTGCAAAGGAGAAAAACATAATTTAAGCTTTGGGTTGAGAAAGGCTGGATCCCTTTTGGGAACCAAATAGGTCTTCCATGATTCTATAAAGAACAAAGACAATTAAATACGTCTGAATGGCAACGGAAACAAATCCAACAGGAATGTCATCAATCAGACACCATATAAGATTTCACTTGGACAACACTACATTTACCCTGACTGGAACTGCGAAGCATGAGTGCCGTAGACAGTTGTAATATTTATTTATTTAATTTGAAGCTGCAGTCAAAAGTTTTCACTTCAGTTGTTCATAAATGTGTCACAGTTAGGATACAGAAGTCGACAACAAAGACGCATTCCTGTGCTCGATGACAATCTTGTGCGTGCGTGTACAGCAGACAGCAAGAGGAAGTTGTACATGATTGTACACAGGTATTTGGTGCTGAACACGAGTACAGTAAGATATGTGAATGCAGCAGTGTCTTTATTTTCATTTAAGGAGGGCACGAAGGCAAACGTGATGAATGCTGCTGATGTTCTGATGTGGTTCTGAGGTGCAGCAAGGGTGTTAAGGCTTTGGAGATGTCATATTGTACAGTGAGGACAAACAACGGGAATGGTCTTCATTTATACAACATAAGAATTACCATAATAAATGTTATATGACTAACATTTACTTATAGTTCGTACATGATGTGGAACAAACTGTTTTTGTATGACATGATTGTGACGGCAAACGTAACGCACACGTTTAATTTACACTTTGCATCAACATCCAGCATCTCCTTTATGAACTTCGAAGCATAAAAGACAAAAAGTAACTGTAAATGTTTAACTGTAAGGCATTTGCACATTTCTAGTTTAATGAAATATTCCTAGGCTGTGTCTTCCCATCTTTCAAGCTTCTATGAAGTTACTGTCACGTCATTCAAGCTGACTACTAAAATAAAGGAATGAGGCATTTTCAGATCAATGAAGTTCAAACTGTCCAGGAAATTTAACCGCCACGGCTGCAGACAGTCTATGACCTCCCTCACTGTGTGTGATATTTCAGCGCCGACGCACACCAAAAGGAAAAAAAAAACAAAAAAAAACTGAGGTAGGCGAGAAAACAATCAAATGCTTGACCATAATGTAGTCATTGTGTAAATAAGAACAAGAAGGAAAACGTGAAAGGCAGAGGGAAACAAAATAGTGTGAATGTGGGACTGATGTCAGTTTACTCAAAGTAAAGATGACCTTGCACTATTTGAGTTGGTTAAGAATGAGATCCATGCAGGCCTGCAGTCCCGCTGCAGCGCTGGTGACAGCATGCGTTACGCCTGTTACACTTTGCATATTTCGGTAGGCGCGGATTCCCACTGCCCTGACCTGTGAGTGTGCGTTCAGGGCTTTTCTTGCGGTGCCTTGAGGTGAAAGGGTGCAGAGACAAATGGGTCTACAGCGCTCACGTCTGAGGTCCACGAGTGCAGAGGTCCAGCGGGGACAGATGCTACAGCAGCCTGCTTGCTCGCGTTAGACGCCGCTCTGTGAGCTGCTGCTGGCTGCTGGGGCACAGGTCCTTCAAAGTGTCGGGAGTATTTGGCCAGAGCTTGAGGACGGAAAGGTTGCTGGGCAACCTGTTCTAAGACTCCTTGATCAGAGGTTACAGCGTGAGCTCCAGCTGCGTGGGGGTACGAGGTCTTCGGCTGCGCTCCTTTGGGCTCCTTTCTTTTTCCGAATGGAGCCTGAGAGAAAACGTCGAGCTGCTGCTGCTGCTGAGCCGCAAGGGGACCGCGTGGAAATGGAGCGTTGGCGAATACGTCACTTGTGTCTTCTTGCGCAATCAGAAAGGGGGCTTTGGAGAAGATATCTGCAGCGCCCTCCATCTCCTTTGCTGCCTCGTGTACATGCTGGAAGTGATTCTGGGCAAAGGTATTTGGAGCAGGTTGATCGAAGGTTGTAGCTGATTGTGCTGCTGCTGTGCTGGAGTGCAGAGATGGATGGAGAGCTAACTGAGGCCCTTGGTCTTCTTCATCCTCAGAGTCCTGCAGCAGAGGTCTAGAACCGCTGCAGTCATGGGGGGCTATGTGACTCTCAATGCCTTCACCGTCCTCTTGCTCGTCCTTGTGTGCTTCTTTTTCTTCGTCTTCATCGCTGGAGTGCACACAACCCTCATTCTGTGGAGAATCTGCTCCTACAGCTTCAGTCTCTTGTCCCTCCTCAAGCACAGAGTAGCCATTACTCTCCCCTTGGAGATCTGTTCAAGCAAGCAAAGATAGAGGGGGAAAACAAATTGGAGGTAAACAAAAATGTTAGAATACAAATGAGAAGGAACTGCCATCTGTGGTCCAGCTGCCCATTTATCTACCAGATCCGTCTCGCATAACAGATGGACTCTAAAATCTGTAAGTCACTGATTTTCGAGGATGACTAAACAATGAGAACCCATCACAAGACTACAATTCTACTCTGAACAGGTCACAGTCACAACACTACCAGTTCTACTAGTACGTCACCACATTAACCTTGTTTCCACGATTCTCAACTCAACCTTCACAAGTAACGCCCGGTGTTACAGGAAAACAGTGGCAGCAGTTTTGCTTTAGGTTAAAACTGAGTCAGTTGAGGAGGAGGGAGCATGAGAAAGATCTGTGGAAACAAGGGGAAAGAGCCTTCACAGCAAAAGTGAAAAATAGTTAGCGACAGACAGACTGCACAGAAGACAGATCAGTCTTACCTCAGCAGTGTTGACAGCAGTTGTTAACGTGCAGCTCAGGGGGAAAGGTTAGTTGAAGCAATTAAAGGAAAAGACCAGCTCTTTCGGCTCTTGTTTTGTTTTACTTCTTGGGCGAGCTTTTCCTCCTCACTTGTGTTTTAAATCGTCCACGCCCTTTCCGTATGACTTAAGTGTGAATATGACACAGTTTGGAGCTGACAAAAATATCCCACAGTGTGACAGCTCACGCAAGTGTGTAGAAAAACAGCTTCTCATCTCTCACAATACAGCTCATAGTCTGTACAGTCAACTTGAGATATTACCTGATTAACAGACACACAATTTAGGAAGGCAAATTAGAAAAGTGTGAGGAGGAATAAAGTTTTTAGGTTTCTGAAAACTGGTCTGATCACAACAACCACTCTATTTATGAACATTACACCGGGTGATATGAATAGGATTCATGACAATACCCCATTAGCCTTTTATGGCTAAGAGAACACCAAGGGAACGACGAGTCTGATGATCTCCATCAGTGATACTTCATTAACACTTTGATGATTATAGATAGTCTGTTTGCATTTCAACCCAAAGAGCACAGCAACACACGTAAAAGTCTGCAACCAGTGGCAGAGTGCTGCAGGATGCAGAATTATAGTGGACTGCAAAAATATGAACCGCAATATTAAATGGAAAGAAAATGGGATGTAGACATTTAAAATGGTTAAGATCAGATGTAATACAACTCACACACAAGCCTTTCTTATGATTATTTAATGAACTATAGGAGACAGAGGTGAAAGGTATCCCAGTGTTATCAGGAAGTTAGTTCCGTCATTAGCTCTGTTAAATAAAATCTATTCAGGCATATACAGTAACTTACATGTACCAGTACTAGTGTATAACCTAACAGCTGCAATGGAGAGCAACACATACTATCCAGTCAAGCGATTCAAAAGCACTTAGTCTCATGTTTGTTTGGTAACTAAACCGTGAGCACTAGATAAATGTTTGACAAGAACTAAGAGAGAAGACAGAAGGACAGAGTCGACAGTTTTGCACTCTTAAATAAAGCCTCATACACAAATATGTTTTATCTATACATCCTTATACAATTTTTACATATTTTATAATGGTCCTCAGTTAATACATTCTTTCTAAAGCACTATCAATAATAGTCACTTTTAATCATAACATGATAAAATGTTACACACTAAAATCTACCTTTACCAATGCTGACAAGTGCAAAAAAAAGAAAAAAGAAAAAAGTGTTACTTTATGTATATTTACATTTCTCTTTCATCTGGACAGACTGTCACAACTGACTTTATGGTATATGGTAACAAAGGATTGGCCAGAGAAGATTGAGAGGATGTCAGTGGGAGAGGGAGGAAGGATATTTTCATGTAAAGTTCCTTCATTAACATAATACCTACACAAAATAATGACATTTACGTCACACTTCCCTCTCTGTGACGGTGGTATTCTGCTAAAAATCTGCTCATTTATACGACCCTGAGAGCGGACCAACACAGAGGAAAAACAGCATGATAATAGAGTCTTGTTTAGCTTTGGCATCGGAACAGGTCAAATACCTTCATTCCCTTTTACTTCTGCTGTGCTTACCTCAACGATGGGTCACAGGTATGAGAATGAGCTGGCATTAGTGGTGTTGTAGATAATGCTGACAATGGTGGGAAGCTGTGCTGTGGCAATGGAGCCGAACTCACCAGCTGTATTAACACTGACCTCAGCAGTTTCAGGAAATGATTACAACTGACAGATTTACAGGTGTAGCATTAGAATACGCTAGACACGCTGCTTAACATCCAGAAAGAGGGGACAGTATACAGGTATGCTCAAGCCTGTGAAGCCACTTGGTCGGTTTACACCAGTGATTCCCAAAGTGTGGGCCACAAAGGTACTACAGGTGCCTGCAGTAATAACAGAAATTACGCTCAAGTATGTACAAGTATGTACATATTTAAATGTATTTATTTATATAAAAGTGAATTAACACTGGTGATCGGAGGTGGTGAGTTTGTGAAGTTTTTCATCACTCTGATCTAAATTTACGCTCTTGTTTTGAAGTCTGAGTCCCAGTGGCAGGTGGCCATGACACTTTGCATGTGATTGGGCAGCATTAGCAATTTATAGCAAACAGCCTGGGCTGTTTATGCTTTTTTTAAATAGAAATGTCAAGAAAAAACACACCACCCTCTCGTGTTTTGATTAGAGTGAAGATTTAACACTGGGTGGGGCCCGTGGGATTTTCTGGTTTTTAAGTGGGCTGCAGCACTCTTGACTTTGGGAATAGCTGGTTTAGACAAATAGATCTATAAAGGAATCATGGCACATGATGGCTTGAACAGATTTGACTTTCCATGACTATGCGCACTCCAACAGTGTGAGAAATCTTTAAAACCTATCCAAAACTGACACTTCTTTTATATGTAAACTGGTTCAATCCGAACAGAAGCGCAGCTCCAGGTTGCATCTTTGTTTGGTCAGTAGTTCAAAGCTCTCATAGGAAAGTGCATCAAATTATCTACAGCATTCTACAGTCTTTAGTCAGACCCCTGACACATATAACCATGCTTAACATGTGCATACGATGATGGTCGACTATGGCCGTGCACTCTGTGAAGGATGTTAATGGGAGTAAGAAGAAAGCATGAGGAAGACCATGGTGTAGCCAAGACAGAAGCGGACGATATGCTCAGGCATTAATGAAAAGATTTTTACCAGTGTGGGAATGTCAGCGGCTAGCAGAGACATATGAAACCAGCTATCAGGCAACTAGAGATGGAGTTGAGGCCAAGGAGGCACATAAAGAGAATACTGGCTCCTCTTGGTCCTCATAAGGTGCTACATTAAGTGTCTCTGCGTGCCCATCTTTACCCCCCAACCCTCCCCCCATATCCCTTTGTTAGGATTGCACACTGCCCCTTCGACCTCTCCCACCCCCTCTAGAGGTCGATGAGCTGATCCACCAGCAGAAGGGAGCGAGCCAAGTTGGGGATGCTGGACTCTGAACTGCCACTGTTGGTGCGCGAGTGACCACCTGGAACGTGCCAGAAAGAAAGAGAGATAGAGACAGAGATGGGCATGGAGGAGCCGAGGGAGAGTGTGAAAGACAAGCAAAAGAATAAGTCATTTTAACAGGGATTGCATGAAGAAATTAAAGAGTGGGAAGATGACCAGGATGAGGGGAGAGAGATGCATGAATAGGGGGTAGAAAGAGAAACAAGCAGAGAGTGAGCTGGGATAACTTTTATACAGCTGCATCATTACAGGGGGAGGGGGGAGTTAGGGAAAGCCATACTAACATGGGGAGACTTTCAAGATAAACTAAAAAGAGTCAAAACACCTGCAAGATGGCGAAGCACTGGGAGTTAAAAGATGACTAATGTGAGAGCTCGATGAGATAAGAAAAAAGCCACCCATACAAGACTTCTCACATCAGAAATCCCAGGAACAAGCTAATGGTGACTAAACTGGGAGGGGGGGCTAGCTCATTCATCTTCGTGGCTCACAGTCTGGGTTTCAGCAGGTGTGAGTGCTCATCTCAGAATTAGGTTAGCCTTACCTTGATTTGAGTTTTTGGAGATGAGCACTGGAATAGGATCAAACTCGTCGTCATTGCCCTTCTCCCCACACGACATGAGGAAAGCAGAGTCTGTGGTGAAGGAAGAGGAAGTGAAGTAACGATGGAAGCGGGAAGAGGTTAACTCGGCCAACGAAAAGAGCAGGAAATAAAAAAAAGAAGGAGAAGAAAAGAAAGGAGGATGCGAGTAGATTATAAACGGAAGCAGCCAGGGCAGTCAAAGTCTTTAAAAGCCATTCAGTTTTACATGGCTTTTAGCATCTTCTACAAATGAGTCAAGGGTCTGGCGAGGCTGTCATTTAGTGTCCAATTCAATTTCCACTTTTGCTTTTTACTGTTTCAACAGGCCTTTCTATTGTGTGGTTGATCAGGGGTCTGCAATTGTGTTGCCACAAACACTGAAACCCCGAAACCCCGCCCCCCCACACACACGCACGCGGAAAATAAAAGGTCTTACCAGAAGCAGTCTGACCAGCTGGCAGCTCCTCCAGGCAGGATCCAGCGCCAGGAGGAGCAGAGGAGCAAGAAGAAGGGAGAACAGAAACAGATGGGTTTCCATGACAGGTATGAGATAACAGATCACAACCCAGCAGAGAATCCTCCCCAGTGAGAGAATCTGAGACAGCGGCCAGAGAAAGAAAGGGTATGAGAAAGTAAGACTGTTAGTGCAAGGAGCAGAAAAAGATGCATTGTATTACTATAATAGCTTATATGTGCAAGCATAAAGAGTTTAAAAGCTATGTTAGCTTCATTTAATAACAAACAATAAAAAGAGGCGTCTCTTTTTCAATGATTGAGCACAATTTTTATTTCTATAGCACTTTTCAAGATAAACGTGGCAAAGTGGGTCACAGAAAAATGCAAGCAGATCTCAGTGAATAGACCACTTAACACCCTAAAGCTTAAGCAGGTTATGGTCCATATAACTGAACTATCCTAAAGCAACTGTTCTAGTTATAGACCAAAATGATTGTGATCTGGAACTAAGGCTGTGCGATATGCCCAAAATCTCATATCCCGATATAAGAATTCTATCGTCCTGATAACGATATAAATCACAAAAATGTAACATTTTCTGTAAAATCTGTGAATCTCGGGCAGCTCGTCTTGCGGGAAGTGTTTCCAGCTGCGCGTCATGTAGCTGGAGTCGAGTGTTTTAACCGATGCATGAAACTACACATTTTTAGACATAAGTTGTAACAGCCGCCGTTTTCTTTGTGAGTATTTATTACACGGCGTGCTGCGGGGAAAAGCCTGTTCTAACGTTTGATGCTAAGGTTTATTTTTTAGCACCTGGCGGCTCTTTTTTAAATTCTCATCCGTAAATAATCTGCTCTTTCACGTGATTCAGTTTATTTTGAAAAGTCTCAACAGGATCTTGAGCTTTATTGTGAAAGGTTTATGTGGAACATAAACAAGCGGACACGCGATGCTGTTACCGTCGTTGTTGCTAACCAACGCATAAAAACAGGCGCTTGTCCATCTTTAGTGTGGTTATATAAAATATAAGAGAAAGAGAGAACTTTAAGAAATTAATATAGCCACTACAAGGACCATCAAAATGGTGAAAAATATTGCCGTAAACAGTTTATTTTGCGACACGAACAACCCTATCTGGAACGCCAGCAAATGTTTGAGTTAATATAAATCAATAAAACTACATCTTAGGATTGTCGCAGAACCTGAACTTAGTTAACCTTGGGTAAAACAGTGATCGGAAAAAGTGCTATTCTGAGGTCCAGGATGCTAACCTGGCACACTGGCAGGAATGAGCTCTGGCTGGCCCAAATGTCTCTGGGGCTGGGGAGCCTCCAAACCAGGAATCAGTGAGTCCACACACACCTCTGCCTTTACTACATAAACACAACGTAAAACAGTAATACAAAGACGTTGTTATTAGTACAGAAAAGAAAGAAGAACATCTTCTTTGTTCCTTTCCCAGATGATATGCCTGACTTTGTAAGGATGTTAGAGAAAAGAAAGGGAAGGAAGACATATGCAGAGCAAATGAGGAATTTTTGGGGGCAAAGCATGGGACAAGAACATAGCTGGTACCATTTGTGGTGCTCTCTGCAGCAGTGTTGAAGGAGTCAGTCAGGGTTAAGAGGTCAGGGAGCAGAAGAGAAGTATCAGGGGACTTCTGTCCCTCAATCAGCTTCTCTGTGAGTGAGCCAGAGAAAGAAGAGGGAGAAGAGAAAGGGACAGATGGCAACAGAGAAAAAGGCAATGAGAGAGGATTTTCCATAGAAATGACAAAGAAGCAGAGAAACTACACTTTGCGATGGTGCATGATGGCAAAAATCAACAAGGACAAATGCATCCATCTGCCTTCATGGTCAGCATTTTTAGAAGCAAGATTCATCCAGCAAGAAAAAAAAAATTAAGGATATCATGTAAATTTCGAGGTACTTTCACGTCAATATAATAAAATTACTGAATCATTTGTTAGTTTATATCAGGGTTGTCAAACATAAGGCCCTGGGGCCAAAAAAAGCCAAGCAAAGACTCCAATCAACTGCCTCTGGAAGATATAAGGAACAGCATAAATGTTTTGACTTTTAAATGTGTTTTAATGAGTTTTGCAGCTTTTCCTACAGATATGACTAGTCATACTATACAAAAGAAATACATTTTACTAATTGATTGCAGATTTTAAACATTTTTTATTTATTTGGTCAAAGTGAGCTGTACGTGGCACACAACGTGAAATGAGTTTGACATCCCTGGGTTATAAGTTCCTTCCTCAATAGCATTCAGTTGCCAAAAAAAGTTAAATTATGGCAGCAGATCTTTAATGCAGAAAACATTTCTCATGCTCTTTCACACCTTCAAAAACTTCAAGTTAAAGCAACCAATGAAGACCTTTCTTTTTATTTTCCACAACATTTTCAGCTCATTTTTGGAGCAGTGCACAAAAAAAGAAAACAAAACCCACAGTTGATGTTGTTAAGTTGTCGTTACCAAAACAAATAAGATCTGATTTTACTAAGTACTAAGTGTGCTGCATGCATGAAGTGTATTTCTATTTATTATAGTATAAGTGTATTTCATGCAGTTACTAATTTTTCACTGCAGCCTTATACTCACAGGAAACTGCTAGGGGCAAAGAAAGGGTTGGGGGGGGGCATCTAGGACAAGGAATGTGTTGGCTCAGAAAATGGCACAGCAGATGTGACCTTCTGACCCCTTCGCTATAGGAAAGACGCCAACGCTGGTGAAAAGCTTTTCACAAATCCTAAATGTCAAACATTTGATTTTCACAGGGAACAGTGAAAATATGCAGTTTTAAAATGCTACATACAGTATGTTTTACATGCTGTTGCACTCTTGCCACAAGGCTGTTTTCACGTTATCTCAGATGGGATGTTGTGCTTCTTTAGCAGAAGTCAGAGTGTGTTTGCTTGTGTGCATTCTATCTCAGTAAGGGATCCAAAGAGTCAAAGAGATAGCTTAGGCTGGACAGAGAAGATTACCCACACCCTTATTACGTAACGTTTTTATCCTCTCAGTTCAGGCCTTAAACAGTATGTAAACAAAAAAAAAGAAAATTAAAAAAAAGGTAAAGAGGCATGAAGCATACACTTCCAGAAGAACTCAAGACTAAACAGAGAAGAAAATAAAAAGCTGGACCGTCATTTCAACAGGAGAGTGCGCTTAGCTTTCTCTTGTTCCTAGCAGCACTGGTAAGCAGGCTCCACTAGTAGTAAAGCAATCCAATTAACAAAGGAGAATTTGTCCTTCGCGTTACCAGGCAACAGAGAAGGAGAAAGCACAGACCTGCAAATGAGATGCGATCTAGCTGTAGCAACACTGTCTATTCATGAACGCTGACAAGAAGCCACTGTGAGGCTGCTCGCTAAGTCAACAAGGTAGAACTGTGTACTAATCCAAACCACAAAAACTGGCACTTGGAAGCTAACCTGTGGATGGTGTGAAAGCCAAGAAACTACCTGAGCAAATACAAAGTCACTCATGAGGTATATTTGCTAAGAGTCCAGGAGAATCAAAGGGATGGCTCGTTGTGCGTCCTGGTGTGACCACAATATTATAGAGTGAGAGGCAGTTAAAAGGGTCTGAGAGACAATAGTGCTGACGCTACACTTGGTGATGGCTATAGATCAATACTGCACAGTGGACTCTAAAAATTGAGACAGCAACATATAGAGCAGCTATAACCTACACAACAGAAATTTTCTAATAATATGCAAGAAAATAGGGATGCTTACTCAAAGTCAGTGCTTGGAATCATCAGTTGAAGATCTGCAGTTTAAAGCTGATACTCTGACTTGACTATTTGCCTGCTTACAACAAGCGCAAGCCTCTAGGGCTGTCCTGGACACTGGCTTTAGTAGTATCAACAGCTAATACTTGAATATTTCAATATTAATTGCGGACGCTTTTCCTACAATGGATGCATATAGATGTAACAATAAAAAAAAACAATCACCATGCAAATAAGATTAAGATGATGGCTGCGCTGTGATTTCTGATGGTTATAAACTGTTTTCTTTTAATAGAAGTACACAAGCCCACAGACAAATCCTTATGATAGATTAACATTATACGCATATACTCAATCACTGAGACAAATCCAGCTGGTTCAGAAGCATCCTTTACAAAGCTGTCAGAGGCATACTGAGAAAAGCTAAACAAAGACTTACCTGGAAAGGCATTGAGGCTGGGAATGAGATTTTCATTGGATCCCGCAGCTTTCTCTCCAGCTGCAGCAGCTGTGCACAAGCCAAAGGAGGAGAAAAAACAAACAGGTTTTAGATCATGGAATGATTCACTAATGCTGTGTGTGAACAAACTGAACTTACTCTCAGCTAGCTTTGCAAAGTCTTTGTTAAGAAGCTCCTCTGCTGTTAGCTTAGAGAAGTTATCGTCGCCAAAAGGATTCCAGGCGGGCTGAGTGTGGGGGACAGTGAGTGCTGAGGAGGCGTCCCCGTCACCTGGATGGTATACACTCTGTTGGGACGAGCAGGGGGACCCAGAAGGAGTAGTGCTTGCTGATCTGCAGTACAAAGATAAATATAAAAGACAGTAGGAGCACACAGTGAAACTACACAAAGGCTGTTAAGTCAATGCACACTGGCCTCCTGATGTATGCGGTAGTAAGGAGAGAGAATGAACAGTTATTTAAAGACTGAAGTGAGATATTCTCGGGGATCTAAAAGAGTTATTTGTCCTCTTTCTGGGTGCTGTGATATGAATGTACTGTCTATTGCACGTCGATCTTCACTCAGTGTCATGAAAGAACAGTTCATCCTCAGATCACTGAGGGGAGTTCATTCTGCTCACTTGGACTTGTTGAGGCTGGCTTCAGCTGCGGCTGCCTGAAGTAGCTGGGTCGACTTGCTAACGGGGACCCCAAACACGGCACTGTGGGTGACATCACTAAGGATACGTCTGTGGCCACTCTTGGTGGCCGTCTTTGGCGAGGAGGGGGGTGTCAGGGAGCCAACTTTGTGGATCCCTCTGCCAGTCGTCTGCAATGAGAAAAAAAAATGATGCAGAGGGGTGAAAATGTGTTAGTAACTAAAACCTTTTCTCTATGGTACTGTTCAAAAGTCTAGAGTCTTTTCTTTATATTTTTCTAGAAAAATAGTAGAAGTTCCTGTGGTCTATAGAAACACGTGCAAACATACACGGAAAAAAATTATATAGAAGCACAAACAGAGTTTGTACAATTCTAAACAGATTGAAAGTCAATATTTGGTATGACCACCGTTATTCTTCAACACAGCCTGAACTCTGCTAGATAAGCTTTCTTGTAATTTCTGGTCTTTAGAAGTACTTCTCCAGTTTCTTGAAGGACAATTAAAGCTCTTCATTTTTCAAAGAGTCAGCTCAAAAACAAATGGTATGTTTTTGCAATAGGCTACTGTAACAAAGTGCCTAAAGATACAATTTAAAATTGGTTCTGCTCATAAAAGCCAAGCTGTCTCTTAAGTGTAGATACAACACTGGTTCATCTATTGAGTTAGCTGTCTTTTCTATGTTTGAACAATTCAAAGGTCAGTATTCCTCTGAAATGGTCAGATACAAGTACTGGACTAAAAATGAGTGAAAAAGGCCAAAGTCCAAAGAAAAACTTTAAAAGTCCTTCATAAAGCCTGGAGAACTATTGCTCAGGACCACTTAAAAATTACATGCAAGTCTGGCTGCTTGGAAGCAAAACATAAAGAAAAAACTGAAGACTTTTGCACAGTTCAGTATTATAAAAAAAAAAGAAAAAAAAAAAGAAATAAATGAACCAGATACAAACATTAGAACAAGTAAGAGCAACTGGAAAAGAAAATTGATCAAAGAGATTGAAGATTGCTCCAAACTACAACTCTATGAAAACAGGAAACATTTACAGGAGAGGAAAACATGAAACAGTCTGACAGAAACTCATGAAAATTCTATACATTATACATTCAGTAAAAATGGAATGAGATTTTTCGAATATTTTGCCACCGAGAAGAGGAAAAAGTGAGCAAAAGTCTGGATGTGATTCGTTAGAGACGAGCCAATAATCAGCCCCGACCCAAAGAGTAGCAGACAGCAGCAGGAGTAGGACGTTACCACAAACTCTGGACCACGAGCTGCAGGACCAACAACTGCGGACTCGGGGATGGGTGTGAGATGGGCAGCTGCAGTTTCAAGGACTAAATGCTGCTGCTGTTGGTGTTGATGCTGCAGGGTAACAACTTGAGGAACAGGTTTATATTGCAGCAGACTGGATGCTTGTGATGATGTTTGTTGTTGCTGAAGTTGGTGGTGGTAGAGGTTCTGTACCAGGTGATGCTACACAGGAACACCACACAGCTGACCGTGAGCAAGGTAAACTGTGGCCCAACTGAAATATTTTCTGTTATGTATTGCAAAACTAAACCAGATTAATTTTTTCTGTTCTGCTTCACCAGCAAACAACATGAATGCACGGAAGAAAACCTACAACAAACCTATAAAAATATGGAAATATTTGTTGCAGCTCATAATAAAGTGGGAATCTCAAAGGGTTTGTTTGAACAAATGTCTGTTAAATTGACATTTATTGATAAATGAGGTAACAGAATGGGAATTTAACAGTTTTCTGAGGAATGATTCCTAATAAGTAAATATGTAATTTTGCAGTACAAATGCAACGAGTTTGTCTGTAAGCTTAGTAGTTCACACTATCATTCCTCAAGAACGTGTCAACGAAACACGTCAACAGGCGTGTACTAAGAAAGAAAGTTCAGCATAGCCAAGATTTTCTTTTCCTGTTAGCTGGCTTGATGAAACCTAACAATCTAGTCTGAGACAACAGGTATGATGGTAGTGGTTATTAACTTTCTTTGTTAACCTAGGCTTGCTTCAGGTGCCAAGAGGGCAGCTGACATGTCATTTGATACTTCCTCCACACAAAACAAATGACTTAGCTCCACCTACTCTGATCAGAAACATTATCAGAGGAACAGGTAGTAGAGATCTAGAAAAAGAATTTAAAATACACCTCCTATTGCTGCAAATAAGACAAGCGAGCAGTGATGGCAGAAAATCATCAATCGCAAGCTCTCCTAGCACTAAAATAAAGTGAGGTGTATCAAAAAGAATCATCTTATTATAAAAAGCTATCATTTTAAAGTGACAGTAATCGAAATAATGGACATAGAAGCTTGTGGTAAATTTTTAAAGTACATGGCTGAATAATAAGTTTTACAAACAAGACAATGTTAACAAGTTCTCAATGTGTCCCCCTCCAGACACACAACATGTCTCCACAATACTCAAACTTGCCACTGCTGCTGTTATGCTACAGACCAGCAACCACGTGACACTCACGAATCTCCTATTTCTAATAATAGGCATTTCCACTTTTGCTGGAGAATGGGGAATAAAACCACTTTAAAATCAGACGATTCTTTTTGACACACGCTGTATAAATGCTGTTTATTTCCAACTGCACATTAGGGTTTCGAAACTTGAAGTTTTACCAAAATTCAGACCAAAATTAAACCAAAACTCTGAAGATAACCTGCGCAGGAATAGGTTGTGTGTTCAGCATCAGTTACTATGGTGATCTAGTCAGGCAAAAGGAGAGACACTGTCATAACACTGAAAATTTGTTGACAGCAGATCTAGTTAAAATCTTACAAGAATGAATGGAAAAGGAAGCTACAGTAAGTTGGTTAAATAAAGAGCTGCAAACAGCACATTTCCTGCCTCTCAGCCAGGTAACTTCCTCCAACCCTTTCACTGAGGTGTGGTGCTAGCAGTCTCATGCTATGTGCAGCATGAGAATCAAATCACAATATCTCACAGAATGAATGAAAATTACACTTACTGCCTGTCAACTAATTCTTTATTTTCTCATTGTTATTTCTTTATTCATCTGGGGAAAAGACGGCATCCATAAGTGTTTTATTTGGGAAGTACAGTTGCTGTTGGCCCTGGTTCTTCCTATCTGTAACATAAGACACACTATTGCAGGATTCCTTAATATCATTCAGCTCCTTCTCAAGATCGGATCTTGACTGATGCCAGCTTCTATATATTACAGATTTCTACATATTACAGGACTACAGATTGTGACAACAGTCCTCCTCCAGCTGTGGAGATCCATTGCAACATAAAAGCCTGAATGTGGAGCAGGTGGAGAAGTGTTTCATGTTGCACTACGACAAGTTCACAAATCCTAGAGAGCAGAACAAGGACCACCATTGCCAGCTGTAGTGTAAGAAACTAGAAGTGGAGTTCATCTACAGGATGAGGCATTAGATTATATTTATAAAGTATTTGTATAGGACAAACCTATAGGAAGTATGTGACTGTACGCATAAACACCATGAACACAATCTAATTGGTAAGAAACCAAATCAAACCAGGCCTGAAACCTTTGAGATTACCACCTTAAGACTGGGAGCAGTGTAAATGTGTAGCTTTGGCTTGAAACACACACACACCAGTGATGAACATAATCATGTTGAATTTAAGCTTCACTGAAACTAAACAGAGCTCTTAAAACTGATTTTGAACAACAAACAGGGCAGCTCAGCCAAAAAACAATATCACTAAAATCCACAGAAATCAAAATAGTTCATCATGCAAAACACAGACAGCCCACACCTGAAGTTTGTATTTTCAAGTGTGTCTCATTATCAAGCCCAAACCCTTTGCGTGGTATCACACTCTTCTTGTTATTGCTTGCACAGTGAATATGCATTTTATGAAAAATCCCTGATGCTGTTAATTCTTTGAAAACAAAGGCATTAAAATGTCTCACCACGCGTGCACAGCATTATTCAATGTCATCCATGAAACAGCACACATTGCAGCTAATCACCATTTCCATTCTTGCTCTAACAGTCTTCCTACCTGCTGAGTGCTCTGTGGGCTTAAGAAGGCAGAGGCTTGCTGCTGCTGCTGCTGCTTCATAAGCAGCTGCTGATGCTGAGATGTAGCCTGCGGCTGCATGTTAGCAGACGGAGCCTGTTGAGCAGGTTGGACAGCAGCTGAAGCTGGAGGAGGGACACTGATACCGACACCTGTAAGGGAAGTTAATACGATATATGAGAAAATTATAAAAGTATTCTTGATCATCAAATACGACACAGATTCTTTTTGTGCAGATTCTTACATGAACCAGCTGTCATCCACACAAACATTGTTGTGCAAGTGAGTGAGAAAATCTTAAATCACCTCACTCTCGAGTTATTGGATTCACAAACTTGGGTATATACGCCACCCGCCCCCACAGTGGGGTGACACAACACCCCATCAGCCTTTTTATGGCTGAGGGGCAAAAACTAATTGGACCGATACCAATCAAAAGAATGACTTTGAACAACACATAAATAAATGTGAGGGTGAATCATGCCACCATCTATTCTGTCTCTGCAAGTTGACCAGAAGGGACTTTAAATAAAAACTAAAAGACTTTAAAGAGCAGACTAAACCAATAGGAACACAGCATATAAATATATAGTGAATTATAGTGAAATTCTTGAGGGATTCATGAACCAAAAGTAATTCAACATAAATAGTGTTATTAGCAGGGTAACAGTCATCATAAATCCAGGCTTTGATCACAATGGTTTTAACCCTGACATATAGAGAAAATCATAGTTTAAACAGCTCCTTGTACCTATAGCCTGGGGTGCCCCAGTAGCCACACCAGGCCTCTTGCGTGGGGTGAGTGCTGGCTGGATGGGAAGAATGCCTGATATGGGCTGGGGCTGAGCCTGGCCAGCTTTGGGCCGCTGTCGAGGTGCAATTGAGGTTTCCGTTGTAGGAACTGGGTCTGTGAGCCTGATGGAAGAAGAAGAAAACTCTGCAGAGTAACGCAAAGTTTCTTATGACAATAATATTAATAAAAATAACACACACGCTTTGCTTGTCACTCACCTGGCTTTGTTTTGACTCTTTTTGGCCACTGCTTCACTCGCTTTGATAGGCTCAGGAAGTTTTGCAGGAATAGGAGAATTCTGCAGAGGAGAAAAGATTTATCAAAAATGATCAAATCTTTTCACATTTTTGATTAGTATTTTCCATAAATGTATAATTGTTTTGTGCTTTGTTATTACTAAGGGCCTAGTGACAAAATCTGTACTGTCATTAATATCACTGTGTTCTAGATAGCTGTTTCTAGCTAGCTAGGAAAGTTTCAAACTCAAACTCTAGCACACGAGATGTAAAATCAAAGACATGTAGTAACAAAAAGAAAATCTAAGTTACTGCTGAGCACACACATATTTTCATCTAATACTCCCACTATTGCTCTCGCCGTGATGACTCACATGTAGATTTGGGACGGGACACTCTCGTCGAGCCAGTTTAAAGGCAAAGTAGGATACTTGGTAAATGTCTGGCCTCTTTTCAGGATCAGGTTCCAGCATGTATCCTGAGACACAAAAAATATTCTGAGTTAATTTGCATTTAAATTTAACTGCACCTAGACTACACATATTCAGAAAGCAGAACGGTCGCATGATCTAAGCAAATAGAGTACTTACTAATAAGACAGTGCATTTCATGTGAGTAGCGAGAGTTGTCTGGGATGGTGAAACTGCCATCACAGATAGCCACTTGGCTCTCGCCGAATGGAAGGGTGAAGTAGCACAGCTTATAGAGAAGACAACCCAAGGCCTGCGCAGACAAGGAAATGAACACATATAAAAACATATACTCTGTATGACGTCATAGTAGTTAGATAATATTTTTAAGTTAGCCTCACCCAAATGTCTGCTTTTGTTGTGATGACATTTCCCCCATAGAGGTTGACCATCTCTGGAGCACGGTATGACAGCGTAGTATACCTGCAGTAGCAGTAATGTATGAGAACAGACCAATGAGCTTCTGAAATATAGGGAGAAAATAGGGTAGATGGTACATCAAGAGGAAAAAAACAACTAACTTTTTGATTTCATCCTCTAAAACTGCCACCCCTTCTGTCTGTGGATTTTGGAAGTGGTTGGTGGCACTTCCAAAGTCACAGAGCACATAGTGTCCCCGGTCATGAAGAAGAATATTTTCCACCTATGTGTGGAAGACAAGATAAGACTTGTGAGATGTGATGTACAGTGAAACAAACGCAAAAAACAAACAAACAAACAAAAAATATTCCAAATTACTAGTGTGATAATTCATTAGATAGATCTGTGCTGTCAGTAGTATTCGCATACAGAAAATGTATTAGGCTTGCCTTGAGATCTCGATGGATGATTGGAGTCTTGCACTGATGTAGACGAGTGACCGCCTCGCACGTGTCACAAAAGATCTGTAACACCTCAGCTTCAGTGAAGCCCGTCTGTAGCCGCTGGTTCATTAGGTTCACCACCTGGCCACCTAAATGAAAAAAAATTTAGTCAATAAAAAGACATAAATTCCTTTTTTTTAATGTAATTATTTAAAGTTTCTAGGTAATATTTAAGGCTCAAATATAAGTTTACTCTGATCCCAACACATCTAAAATAAATGACAAAAACATACATTAATCTTTATCATTCACATGACACTTCAAAGTGGTCAGCTTTTACATAAGAGAAAAAAGTAAAGAGGGCATCATGAATGTATTGCTTTAACACATTAACATTGCTGTTTATAGCATAACAAAATTAATACATTTTCGACACTACACAATTTAAAAACCCTAACGATGCTCACAACTGCACAGGCATGTTAACATTTTATCTTTCTACAAATGACACAGCTAAGTTAAGCACCGAGTAAAACACAAGTTCTATTGACCACGACAGCTATCAGCTGAACATTTGCCTTTGGAAAAAAAGAAAAGAAAGGATGCTGTAAGAGCCGAGGGTAATGGAGCTTTGAATTCAGAGATAGAAAGGCATGGGGAGGGGGTTGGGCGATTTACCTCGACAGAAGTCCATTAAGATCAGGACTTCCCACACATCACCAGCTCCGACTGCAGTTATGCTGGAGTCCAGGAAGCCGACTATATTTTTGTTACCCACCAGGTCCCTCTGTGTAAACAAACAGAGAGAGAAACAGGAATGATGAACAACAAGAGAGGCAATTTTCAAATATCATGCAGTCCTAAGAAACTTTATTTGATAGATCAAAAAATACATCAATGTTTGTAAATTCTCAGTTTAATTTTAACTGCCAAAGGACTTAAGGTAATGATGATAAAATCATCTGATAAGCATGTCACCAGGGAGTGGCTACAGGAACTGGTCTGTTTCACTTACAGTTAGGAAACGGACATGCAACTGAGCTTACAAGGCAACATTTTAAACAGAACTTCATGTTCTAAAATGGAACTAATTACAATCCTGAGTGCTGCTTTGTCATCACCACTTGACACAAGTCAAATAGTGTTTTTGCATAACTTTTTTTTTTTTAATTTCGGGCATTCTGGGTTGTTCATATTTGCATTTTCTGTATCAAATTACTTAACACTAGATAGATTTTTGTGTTTGTTGCTGAGCAGGCTAACAGTAATGCAAATTGCTGAGTTTTCTCCAGTCAGCTTTGGGGCAATCACACTCACCATAATTTGTATTTCAAGTTTGCAGATCTTCAAATCGTGTTCGTTGTTGACATACATTCTTTTTAGTGCACATCGTGCACCTTGATGAGTCCTCACCAAAAAGACTATGGCAAAACCTCCTGCAAAGAGAAGAACAGGAAGAATGGACAAATTGAAATGCAGAAATAGAAAAACCACCATAGTTATGTCTCTTGCATTTTTTGCCACCATATACAGTGCAATTATAAGTGGCACTGCATTGGTGCTAAAACCCAGGGCGTTCTTTCTATGTAGAGCTGGGCGATATGAGATTTTTTCATATCACGATATGTTTTTTTCATTTCAGGCGATAACGATATCTATCACGATATAAGCCAAATAACTATATTTGTAAGATTTAAATGTGCCGTTGCTCACAAGTAAAATGTGAAATAATCAGCAGCTTGTTTTTATTTAAATATTTATTTCCCATAATAAGTTCAACAGGGTAGATGTACTTAAGGAACATGAGACTTTTTCAGATAAATAAAGGCAAATATTGCAAACTACACAAAAGGCAGCCGCTAAAGCGTTTAAGTTTCAAAATAGGACAAACGAAACAGACTAAATTGTCAATTCCACTTAGAAACAAAATATTAATTCTAAAAATAAATCTTAGTTTGTTTTACAGAAGAACAGACAAAACTGACTAACTTTTGTCAATATCAAATAAACTGAGAACTAAAAGGAAATTCTCAATCTCTCCTTGTTGTATAGCTGAGCTTTTCAAACCGTTTTAACAGTTACTTTAGTCTGACAAAAGCCGAATGACGAATTAGCGCTTCCAGTCAGAGACTGAGGCTATGTCCACACGTACACGGGTATTTTTGAAAACGGAGATTTTCCATTTTCGTTTTAAAAAATAATCCCGTCCACACATAAAGGCAGAAATGAAGGAAAACGCTGCTATGAACATGCCAAAGCAGCAGGTGGCGCTAGATTCCTAACCGTGCCTAAATGTTGGCCAATCAGAAGTCTAGAAGCCTCGGTGGGAAAAAGTAAACAAAGCTGGGGCATAGAAGCAGAACCGAGTCGTAAGTGTGGAGGGACAGTAACTGTGTGTATATGTAAGCATTTAAACACTGCAGAGAGTAGAATTAACAGTAACAGTATTGTAGAAATTCATTTCACCGAAACAATAACGTGGCGCAGTGTGACGAATGCACCAGTTTATTGTATTTCCAGACTTGCTTTCGGCACAATTTACAGTGCACGCTACTCTATTTTTGTCAGACTTGAAATAGCCGAAATACCTTCACACTACGGAACTTCTATGGCTCTTCCGTTTGACAATCTCTCCGGCATTGGAACCATCATCTGTTTTCTCTTCAGTCACGCTCGGTTGATTTTTCTAGTCGGCACACTCATTTCCTCCATTACGCGCTGGCTCCATTACCCGCTGGCTCCATTACCCGCTGGCTGCTTCCCAAACAAACACACGTGCGGCTTGGCACTTGTGCTGTACGTAACAAGTCACACGACGTGACGCTGCGGCTGTGATTGGTTCGGCTCTGCGCCACTTAATTTGGATTGGCTGACCTTTTTTTTTTTTTTGAGGACAAGAGCGGCGAGGTCTATCGCAATAGCTTAATTTCTCTATCGAGTAAAAGTTATATCGCGATACATATCGTTATCGTTCTATCGCCCAGCTCTATTTCTATGAGACAACACTGCTAAGCATACTGCCTTGCTCAGTCTGGTTTGAGTTTATTTCTCAGGACAGTGACCATCTGTTGACAGTGACTTGATTTTTACTGAGGAAAAAAGACAACCTTGGCAGATCAAATAATCATAACCTAAACTACAAGGAGCCTGATAAAGTCACAATAAAAATAAAATCTATCAAACATGTGCAACGAATCACTTTATCCAGTTTAAACCACTGGTGTCAAACAGCCCTGCAGCAGGGTATAATTCAACCCTGTTGGATGGCCTGGGTGTTGGATGAGTATTTTGTCCACATCATCCTCTTCATGCATGTTGTCTTACGCCAAGCTGTATAGGCTCGAAAGCCTACTACCAATTAAGCATATTAGGTGATGTGCATCTCTGTAATGAGAAGGGGTGTGGTCTAATGACATCAACACCCTATATCAGGTGTGCATAATTATTAGGCAACGTCCTTTCCTTTGGCAAAATGGGTCAAAAGAAGGACTTGACAGGCTCAGAAAAGTCAAAAATAGTGAGATATCTTGCAGAGGGATGCAGCAGTCTCAAAATTGCAAAGCTTCTGAAGCGTGATCATCAAAAAAATCAAGCGTTTCATTCAAAATAGTCAACAGGGTCGCAAGAAGCGTGTGGAAAAACCAAGGCGCAAAATAACTGCCCATGAACTGAGAAAAGTCAAGCATGCAGCTGCCAAGATGTCACTTGCCACCAGTTTGGCCATATTTCAGAGCTGCAACATCACTGGAGTGCCCAAAAGCACAAGGTGTGCAATACTCAGAGACATGGCCAAGGTAAGAAAGGCTGAAAGACGACCACCACTGAACAAGACACACAAGCTGAAACGTCAAGACTGGGCCAAGAAATATCTCAAGACTGATTTTTCTAAGGTTTTATGGACTGATGAAATGAGAGTGAGTCTTGATGGGCCAGATGGATGGGCCCGTGGCTGGATTGGTAAAGGGCAGAGAGCTCCAGTCCGACTCAGACGCCAGCAAGGTGGAGGTGGAGTACTGGTTTGGGCTGGTATCATCAAAGATGAGCTTGTGGGGCCTTTTCGGGTTGAGGATGGAGTCAAGTTCAACTCCCAGTCCTACTGCCAGTTTCTGGAAGACACCTTCTTCAAGCAGTGGTACAGGAAGAAGTCTGCATCCTTCAAGAAAAACATGATTTTCATGCAGGACAATGCTCCATCACACGCGTCCAAGTACTCCACAGCGTGGCTGGCAAGCAAGGGTATAAAAGAAGAAAAATTAATGACATGGCCACCTTGTTCACCTGATCTGAACCCCATTGAGAACCTGTGGTCCATCATCAAATGTGAGATTTACAAGGAGGGAAAACAGTACACCTCTCTGAACAGTGTCTGGGAGGCTGTGGTTGCTGCTGCACGCAATATTGATGGTGAACAGATCAAAACACTGACAGAATCCATGGATGGCAGGCTTTTGAGTGTCCTTGCAAAGAAAGGTGGCTATATTGGTCGCTGATTTGTTTTTGTTTTGTTTTTGAATGTCAGAAATGTATATTTGTGAATGTGGAGATGTTATATTGGTTTCACTGGTAAAAATAAATAATTGAAATGGGTATATATTTGTTTTTTGTTAAGTTGCCTAATAATTATGCACAGTAATAGTCACCTGCACACACAGATATCCCCCTAAAATAGCTAAAACTAAAAACAAACTAAAAACTACTTCCAAAAACATTCAGCTTTGATATTAATGAGTTTTTTGGGTTCATTGAGAACATGGTTGTTGTTCAATAATAAAATTATTCCTCAAAAATACAACTTGCCTAATAATTCTGCATTCCCTGTAAACACTGTGTGGTGAGTTAGTTGGCTGGCACAATAGTCACAAGACCTTGAAACAAAACTGTGTGAGTAAGCAGCTGTGCCAAAAAGATGCAAGAAGACAAAACTGACAAGACAGGAAGTGAGAGAATATATCATCCCACGTTTAGTCACAATGATGACAGTGACAACCATAGCAACTAAAACCACCAGGAATCATACCACACTAATAAATAAAGCACAAACTGAGTATCTCTCAGCAGATATCTGGATATTTTAGATTCAATTATCATTGTTATTATTATTATTCTACTACTATCAGCATTACTCAATACGAGCTGCATTGTTAAAGACGTTCATAGAGTACAGCAATATTTTTTTTTAACAGGAAACCACACTAAATATGAAATCATGTGGGCTTCAGTCCTCCATCCTGTGTGGGTCAGCATGAATGAGGAAACTTAGTCATTTTACTGTTGTCAACATGAATTAAATGACTTGAAGTTTCACAATGAAGTGCTAAATTCTCTGCATATAAGAAAAAGGAGCTGGCAGAGCACATTGCTCAGTAATTAGTGTTATGACATGAAAAGCAATTGCTTGGATGAGATATGAAGTTTAATTAAGAGCTGAGGCCTGTATTGAATCAGAATAAAGAGCAGAGGCTAGGCGGGCACGTGTGTGTATAGCCCAGCAGAGCAGAGGCATCTGATCCACTGCTGTCTTGCACAGTCTAATCTGAGATGCCTGTTAGAAATTAGAGGGATTAGCGGCTGTCTTAAGTAACATTTAGCAGTGGTCTACTGTCTCAGGAGACGGGGTGACTAAATAAGTCCAGCTAAAAATAGCCACTACTCCTTGACGTAAAATGATTATAACACAGTTGTAAATGCACACAAAAATAAACCTTTGGGCTCTGCAATGAAAAGTGTCACCAATGCTTGTAATGTTCAGTTACAATCTGTCAGTGTAATGGAACTTGCATAATAAGCATCTAGGCTTTAGACTAAGACACAGCACATGCCCTCACCACTACGATGCTGTTTACAAACATATGCACAACACTGCAGTGACAGGGAGAAAAACCAGAGATCGTCTAAAGAGAAGGTGGCATAAACTATCTAATCTGACTTAGAAAAGTTTTTTTCCCACTCTGTTAGAAAATGTGATAATTATGGTATACAAAAAGGGAATGACTCGCACATTAATGACAGCAGGATCTGGGGGCACTAATGTTACCAGCAGTAACTCTATACATCAATACAAAACAACACTTCCTGCTGACCGTAAAGGGAGAGAGCTGTGTGTCAGGAAATCCAGAGGTAAGTCAGTAATAAATCACAGATTTACCCAAGACCTAAAGCTAAAAAAAGATAACACTGTTCAAAGCGTGCACCTCCAAACCAAAGTTACAAAAGAAAAAAAAGTTACAAAAGCAGCACAGTGCGCCACCCTCACTGCTTTAGTCAGCACAGGGTAAAGTGTGTTGCCACAAAGTTCAAGAGTGACAACAAAGGGAGTTGGAGTAAGAGGAGGAAAAAATAATTAACTACATGACGCAGCCAGATAACAGTGACTGCAGGCCCAGACTTCAATGAAAAGCATCTGAATAAACAGGTGTATTGCCAGTAGCTGTACTCGAATTACAAAGAGCAGCTCTACTACCAGATCAAAATGCAGTGAAAGGAAAAAATAAATAAATAAATAAAACCTTGCATCTTGGGGAAGCTGTATATATAATTATGGTGATGTAGAGCTGGGCGATATGAGATTTTTTCATATCACGATATGTTTTTTTCATTTCAGGCGATAACGATATCTATCACGATATAAGCCAAATAACTATATTTGTAAGATTTAAATGTGCCGTTGCTCACAAGTAAAATGTGAAATAATCAGCAGCTTGTTTTTATTTAAATATTTATTTCCCATAATAAGTTCAACAGGGTAGATGTACTTAAGGAACATGAGACTTTTTCAGATAAATAAAGGCAAATATTGCAAACTACACAAAAGGCAGCCGCTAAAGCGTTTAAGTTTCAAAATAGGACAAACGAAACAGACTAAATTGTCAATTCCACTTAGAAACAAAATATTAATTCTAAAAATAAATCTTAGTTTGTTTTACAGAAGAACAGACAAAACTGACTAACTTTTGTCAATATCAAATAAACTGAGAACTAAAAGGAAATTCTCAATCTCTCCTTGTTGTATAGCTGAGCTTTTCAAACAGTTTTAACAGTTACTTTAGTCTGACAAAAGCCGAATGATGAATTAGCGCTTCCAGTCAGAGACTGAGGCTACGTCCACACGTACACGGGTATTTTTGAAAACGGAGATTTTCCATTTTCGTTTTAAAAAATAATCCGTCCACACATAAAGGCAGAAATGAAGGAAAACGCTGCTATGAACATGCCAAAGCAGCAGGTGGCGCTAGATTCCTAACCGTGCAGAAATGTTGGCCAATCAGAAGTCTAGAAGCCTCGGTGGGAAAAAGTAAACAAAGCTGGGGCATAGAAGCAGAACCGAGTCGTAAGTGTGGAGGGACAGTAACTGTGTGTATATGTAAGCATTTAAACACTGCAGAGAGTAGAATTAACAGTAACAGTATTGTAGAAATTCATTTCACCGAAACAATAACATGGCGCAGTGTGACGCATGCACCAGTTTATTGTATTTCCAGACTTGCTTTCGGCACAATTTACAGTGCACGCTACTCTATTTTTGTCAGACTTGAAATAGCCGAAATACCTTCACACTACGGAACTTCTATGGCTCTTCCGTTTGACAATCTCTCCGGCATTGGAACCATCATCTGTTTTCTCTTCGGTCACGCTCGGTTGATTTTTCTAGTCGGCACACTCATTTCCTCCATTACGCGCTGGCTCCATTACCCGCTGGCTGCTTCCCAAACAAACACACGTGCGGCTTGGCACTTGTGCTGTACGTAACAAGTCACGCGACGTGACGCTGCGGCCGTGACGCTGCGGCTCTGCGCTACTTAATTTGGATTGGCTGACCTTTTTTTTTTTTTTTTTTGAGGACAAGAGCGGCGAGGTCTATCGCGATAGCTTAATTTCTCTATCGAGTAAAAGTTATATCGCGATACATATCGTTATCGTTCTATCGCCCAGCTCTATGGTGATGCCATTTAGTAGGCCTAAGAATTACACACCTGAATTGTGCTTTTCTAAAGTTATTATCTGCAGCAAGGCCAAACTGAGCTCACAGAAACAAAGAAATTCCCTAACATCCCAGTACAGGGCGGGTCTGAAGTTTGCTGTGGAACTCATTCATAAAGCCAGTGTGCGGCCAAACACATGGTTCCCATCTATAGTACTGATAAATTAATCAGACTTTTTTCATCTATTATTTAGTAACAGGCCCTCTTAGCTAACAGAGGACATCAGACTCTCATTGCAAAGACAAATGACCACAGGGAAAAGGTTTACCTCTTTCACAATATCCGTTTAGCCTGTTCTAATAGAAATGACCTAAAAAAGGTGCAATCAGTCCTCACCACACTAAGTTAAGTATTTGGATTAACAAATGACCATGCAAGAATATTTTCACCTGGAAAAGTTTGTGTGAAGTTATGTTTGAGTTTCAGCTTACTGTAAGGTCACATTCTATGTGCCAACACATCCTAACCAACAACTTCCAGTTAATTTTAACTTGTGCAGTCTACATCTGCCAGTCCCTCTGTAAATATCCATACAGGTGACTCAGCATGGCGTTGGCCCCTTACAGCACAGCAGGAAATCCAGTTTTGCTATGTTCCTCCCAGCCTTCAAGTAAAGAGTGTAGTAATGCAAGGATAATACACACTGAGAGATGTAGAGCCCATCATCTTTACATCTTAAAATTTCAGCCTAGTCTGTCTTCCTCCTAATCTGCCTGTTGTTATTATAATTGTTATTATTAATAATAAACAGATAAGACAGGTTTGGGCAACCTGGCAGCAAACAGGCAGGCAGAGGACTGCCTAAATGTGTAACCTCTAAACCCTGACCAGTAAATATTCATTAACCAGTGCCATTTCCACTTAGTAATGTATAGCAAACATGATAGCTTATCATTGTGTTAGTAACATTACTCTGACTGGGCCAAAAACAAAACAAAAACAGGCCCAATCGTTTAAATGAAGCCGTCCAAATCACAATTAAAGTGTTTGTAGTAATCCACACAAGGGAACGCCACGTAGTTCACCTTCAGCGATTGTTTCCTCCACGGTTACTTGATATCTTCCAATGCTGAAGACTCGTCCGATGAAGCTGCCACCGCCGCCGGAACCAGCGCCTCCTCCACCGGCTCCAGGACCAGGCCCGGAGCTCCCAAACTCCCGACGGGAATCAAAAAATTTCTTCATTTTCCCTTGACACTGCCCAAAGCAGGACCGAGTCCAAAAATGTATAAATGTCGCGACAACGACAGTAGTTGGACAGAGTCAGTCGCTGAGGTGCTGGCGTTAACGCTTCAACAGCTGAATGAATGCTGCTAGCTGGCTTCAAGCTAAAAGCTAGAGAAACTAGCTGGACCTTAAAATATCCCGAACACTGCTGCCTGATGCTGTTCAGCTAACTCATGGTTTGAACAGCAGGCGGAGTCAAATAATGCAGAGAAGCCGCTTTCCACTCTATACCAAAATCAGTACTAGCTACACAATGAGCCGGACTATGAGCCCGAAAAACCCAGTCAGCTCACCTAGCTAGCTAGTCAGCTAGCTAAGCAGCCAGGTGCCAGCTGTCAGTCAACAGACTAGCAGCCAGGTAGATTCCTGATATCAAGTCCAGGTCGTTACACATCTCGGTCGATATTCTCCCGAGGGAAATGTTAGTCCACTTGCTGCCTTATACCTCTGTATCGTTGAGAAAATTTCAGCTCTTTACTGTTTGTATTCGTGCTGCAGGTTAGAATAAGCCTAGTCAACTAGGTTAACTTAATGACAGAGCTAACACAGCCACCAGTACACGCTAATGGCAGAAGTCCTCCCCATCTCCCCTGAATCCTGCTGGACTGCTCCTCGTGTGATTGGTCAAATCAACAGCGACTTCCTGTTAGTGCACCCTGCTTGTCCCTGAGCTGTGGATTGTCAACATAAATAAAATGCGTTTTGTTTTTTCATCAGTCTAATTTACTAATAACAGTAAAATAAAAGGAAACCAATTTAATCTTTAATCTCAAATTTGTGAACAAAGACGAGGAAATATCTACAGAAGGGGATCCCCACAGAATTCATTTGCTATGTGATTTCTGTTCCAAACTTCTGAACATATTAGATATAAAGGTGAAAGATATGGAGCTATAACAATAATAATAATGATAATAATAAAATGTATTATACATATCCTCCTGAGAACCGAGGAAAATTTTTTTGTGTGTGTGTGTGTGATTTTCTTGGTCTTTGGAGCTAAAAGAGGCCACCCAAACACACGAGATATCAATGGAAAGCCCATGAGGCACTCTATTTAGTACCACAGGACTAGGTAAGGTAGCTCAAATAAGTAAAAAGATATACACCAAAAGCAAATGTCCATTCCAGATAACATAAATGAATAGGATAGTTCTCAATATTTAAATACAAAAACCAAAGTGAAACAAGCAAACCCACAGTAACTAAACTAAAATAAACTGAGAACAAAACATCAAGTCAGTAAAACAAACAATAAAGTTGGCCAGTTCAAACATCCATGATAATCTTACATTTTTAAACACAGATATTATGTTAGAGTTTTATAATAAAGATTCATAATTACAAACACATAAAGTCACTTAAATTCAATTCACTTTGGTTTTATTTATTATATAGCACCAAATCACAGAAACTGTTGCCTCAACTGTTGCCTCAACCTTACATTCCTTATAATGTAAGGAAAATTACAATAACATAGAGAAACACCCAATAATCAGATGACCCCCCTATGAGCACTTGGAGACAGTGGGAGGGAAAACAGCAACTTGTTGGGATGAGGGGAGGGAGAGAGGACAAAAGACACACTAAAGAGAGCCAGATATTAATATGAATTTCATTAATGATCAAATGTAGAGAGGTGTGTAAACACATAGAGAATGAAGAAAAAAGTCCCACGACATGGTAAGGAAAGGATAAAACACACCAACTGTGCTGAAAACTGTAATAGTTATGCATCTGTTTAAATGCTGCTGTGACATGCCATATTTACCATCCATTTGTTACCACAGCACCAGACGTAATTATAACAAAGAGTTGACGCCAGTCCACTTCAGCACTTCTCCACGAGTGAATTGTCTTTACTGATATTTGTTGACATTTTAAGTTATGGCCAACTATTCTAAACTTTGTGTTTTTAATCTGTGTTTTTCACTGCCATAGGAAATTGTTAAATAAATCCTATTCTTGCCTGCTTGAAGTTAAACACATTCATATTCTTAGTTGCATTCTTGTTTCAGGCCAATGCAATATCGAAATGGTCAGTTTTAATACTGTCATCTGAAATTCAAAAGGTGAGATTATATTTTATTTATAGCTCAAGTTTCGAAGACTGACCTGAGGTCTTGGCTGCTCGTGTGAGTGAAATACTTTTTCCCGCAGGGGGCGCTGTTTCATCACAAAATAAATATGGACTTGTAGACTTCTTCCCCCTATCTCAAGGACCATATTTCCCTTACCTTGATGGAAGGTTTGTGTGTGTGTGTGTGTGTGTGTGTGTGTGTGTGTGTGTGTGTGTGTGTGTGTGTGTGTGTGTGTGTGTGTGTGTGTGTGTGTGTGTGAAAAAAATTGGAGCAAAACTTTTAAACAGGAGCCACTTTTCTTATTTATACGTAAATTCCTGAAAGACAGTCAAACTCAAAGTGTTTGCAGCATAGATCCAAAATCCCCTCTTGTGTTTGTCATTCACACTGTAAATAATTTAAATATATAATGCATTATGGAAAAGTTCAACATGTATTTCCATTCATATCATTTTCTCACAGCTCCCTACTTATGTACTGTATTTGGACATGCATGATAACTTGTTTACAGAATATAGGACATTCATTTGAGTGCAGCTATTATCTTGGAATAAATGTAGCTACACATTTAAACATGTGGTGACCATTTTGCTAAAATAATTGAGCCATTAAGCTGTTTCAGCTGCAGAGTTGTTAGTGCTCCAGTGATAAATGACAAAGCTCTGATGCATTCTTTCCTCTGTGATCATCTACAATATGTTGGATCTCAGCTGACCGAATAGCTAAAGGTAAACAGACTTTGTTCTCATTTTGTGTGGTCCCCCGAGAACCAAAACATCCTTACAATTTGGCGTCTGGACTCAGATAATGTGAAAAGGCGAGGTCAGAAAAGCAAACATAATTTATGTGTACCAACAAGTATTAGAATAGAGCTGAATGGTGCCTGTGACCGGAGCGGAGCTGCAGTTACATCATTAGAGGAGTTGTATCTGCCACGTTGAGAGAAAAAAAAAAATCTGAGCTCTCACAGGCTAGAAGACATGCCAACCGTAGATCTTTCTTCTCCATGTGTGAAATTGCCAAAACAAAATACCAGGTTTGAATTCTTGGAGATCAAAGGGATATAAATATAAACCTTTTATTAATAGTTTTTCCTGTGGATCACCTTTTTCTAGAGTAATTTTAAAATAAGCAGAATGGAAGCAAAGATTAATTCTGCGCTTTTACCTCCGCCTTATCTCACTGCCTTCCCCCAATCCTCTCAGATGAAATTTATTAAAAGATCAATCCCAGCATATTACTTTTTTTTTTTTTTTTTTTTTTGCTTGAAAGTATCTCCTACACACATACACACACACAAACACACACGTGTCGTGTACAAATTGCTATACTAATTAGAGCTGGACGATTCGATATTGTGTATCGGTCTGATACTGACATAAATTACTGGATCAGATATCGGAGAGAAATAAAAAATGTCATCCGATCCATTAAATATCAAAAAAGCACCTCACAAAACTTGCAACATGGCGTAACTCGGCTCATAGCCGCTCTATCACGTTGCAGCAGTATGCATCACGTGATAGAGCGGCTGTGTGTATTTGTAGCCTTGCTACCAATCTGGCATTTCATCTCCCAGGAAGTTATCCCAGAGAGAAGTAAAGCAAGTGTGTAAATTAATCTCTGAATGTTTGTAAAGCATTCCCGCGTTAAGCTTAACAACCAATACATGGAGCGACTGCCTCTCTCCCTCCCTCTCCTGCTGCTACTTCAATCCTGGAACTGATCAATGATCAGCTGATCGGCTTTTGTGTTGCGAGTCCGTCTCTCTTGTTTGTTTATTGCCCACTTCGCGCCAGAAAGAGGAAACCAGCGGCTGAACAACAGCAGCACGTTTAAGCTTGATAAGCTGTTGTTAGAATTTATTTAATATTACTTTGTACACCAGGATCTTTTTCTACGTAGCTGACGGCTGGTAACTGTGCAGGGGCGGATCTAGCAAAGTTTAGCCAGGGGGGCCGATAGGGCATGAACAGGGAAAAGGGGGCGCAAAGACATACTTTTCTTTCTTATTCTCATTTAAAATGTCTAGCTTTTAATAAATAATTATCCAAATCTTACACCCAAAGTTTTAATCTGATGTAAAATGTATAGAAGTCCATTACTGTATATAGTAACTGTTAAGTCTAATATACCCTAGTAAGCTATAGTACTTTTTCCTTTGGGAAGGTACGATCTGTGCAGTCTGCAATTTTGTTGAAGAAAGATGTTGAATCTATTTAATTATTCTTGAAAAATAATTGATTTCTGTGCATTTCTTTCACACTGCATCAAAGTTGATTATGTTAATTAAGCATCATGAGGTGGAGGGTGGGTGGTTCCCTATCTTTATTTTTATTTTTATTAATTTTTTTTGCTGGGAGTTTGCAACCCTATTAGTTAGGTTGCTTACTCTTTAAAATACCAGAATAGGGAGGATGGAGTAGGTTTAAGTTCATTAGATTGATCAGTATTGCTGAACTATGAAATATTTTAGGTGCAGTGTATTTTTTGCATACAGGGATAACAGAATAGATTTAGTGTTTTTTGGGTTTTTTTTAACTTGAGTATGAACTTATACAAAAAGCAGCAAGATATTAAAAAAACAGTTTTATTGATTAAAAAACACACTATATCGGATTCATATCGGTATCGGCAGATATCCAAATTTATGATATCGGTATTGGTATTGGACAAAAAAGTGGTATCGTGCCATCTCTAATAATAATAATGACATGGTTTGACCTTCAAGGTTCTTTATTTGTCACATGCATAGTTATACAAGTATAACACACAGTGAAATGTAGCCTGACACGCTCCTCGACATGTGCAAAAATTGGGGGGGGGGTGTAGAGGAAGAACATTATATATATATATACAGACATATAGTATATACACTGGGTGAATGTGCAGTAGTAGCAGCAAGCAGGTGAATTCTGTACATTAATATGAATAGACATCTGACTATTTTACAGGATAGACAATATAAACATATTTAAAATTAAAGGAATTGAAATGTACATTGTGCCTTGGTTTAGAGTGTCTGGAAGAGAGTCCTGTCTCAGTCAATTATAGATGATGTGAGAGGGCGGGTGTGTGTGTTTAGGGCACGGATGGCTTGGGGATAGAAGCTCCTCTTGAGTCTCTCTGTCCTTGCCCGGAAGATGCGGAACCTTCTACCAGATTGCAGAAGTTGGAACAGTTTGTTGCCAGGATGGGACGGGTCCTTCAGTATCTGCGCTGCTCTAGTCCGGCATCTCCTGGTGTAGGTGTCCTGAAGCGGGGGGAGAGCAATCCTGCAGCAGCGTTCTGCTGTACGGATCACTCTCTGGAGAGCTTTTTGGTCCTTCACACAGCTGTTCCCAAACCACGATGTCATGTTCTGTGTGAGGGTGCTCTCCACAGCGCCTGTATAGAAAATCCTGAGGATCTTTGGAGAGACCCTGAACTTCCTCAGTTGTCGTAGGTGATACAGGCGCTGCCTAGCCTTTTTGGTCTGGACCTGAATGTGGGCAGCCCATGTCAGGTCTGAGGAGATGTGGACACCAAGATACT